GGGGCGGGAGGGTTGGAGGGAGGGTGGTGGCGGGGGTGCACAGAGGGCCAGGCCACATGCATCTGTGCCTGCCCTTTGTCCCGGCCCTGCCCCCGTCCCACCCCTCCACCCCCCACCACGCACACACCCCTCACACCCCGTCCCCGCCCCCCTCACCGTCTGTTTCCCGCAGCGCCAGCACCGCGCGGTTGATGGACACGGGGTCGCCGATCTGGATGGCGGAGGCAAAGGTGGTCTGCGCCTTGACGGGCTGGAAGGAGTCGTAGCCGCTCTTGTAGGCCAGGTAGAGCGGGTTGGCGTTCTGCGCCTGCGCGCACACCAGGCGCGGCAGGCGGTCCACCAGGCCCAGGTCCCTGCGGGGGGCGGGGGTGGGGTAGGGTGGAGCTGTGGGGGCTGTGCGCGAGGAAGCGGCGTGGCCATCGGCAAGCGGCAGGCGCACGGCAAGCTGCAGCTCTGTCTCCACGCGCCTGCTCGGCTCCTTGCCCCCATCCCCCCCGTTCTACGCAACACAACACACACACACACGTGCGCACACACACACACACACACACACACACACACACGCACACACGCACACACGCACACACGCACACACGCACACAAGCCGCGCCGCCGCTCACTTGCACATCTTGAAGCCCTTGTAGAAGGCGTAGATGTTGCCCAGGTTGCCGCCCGGGATGATGAGCCAGTCGGGGACCTGCCAGTTGAACTGCTGCAGGATCTCGATGGCCGCCGTCTTCTGGCCCTCCAGCCGCAGGCTGTTCATGGAGTTGGCCAGGTAGATGGGGCACGACTGGGTGACCTGCGGGGGGGAGGCAGGGGGGAGGCAGGGGGCAGGGGGGAGGCAGGGGGGCGGGTCAGTGGGGCAGCTAAAAGATGCGGGGCGCTGAGAATAAGCAAGGGAGCAGCCGGCTGGCTTGCCCCCGCTGAGCTGGCCAGCCGCCGGAGCAGGGCGCCGCCCCTCCCGCCGCGCCGCGCCTCCCGCCGCGCCGCCCACCTCCTGGATCAGCTTCATGCATCCGTCAAAGTCGGTGTCGATGGAGAGGACGAGGGCGCCGTTGGCGATGGGCTGCACCAGCTGCGCCAGCGAGATCTTGTCGGCGGGCAGGAACACGATGGAGGGGATGCCTGCGGGTGTGGGTGTGGAGGGGTGGAAAGAAGAACGGGGTGGGTGGCGGCAAAGGCAGGGAGCGGGAGCGGGGCCAGCCACGGGCCAGCCACAGGCCAGCAGCAGCAGCAGCAGCCAGCGGCAGCCAGCGGCAGCGGCTGTCACGAGCAGGCTGTGCAAGGGGCAGGCGGCCGGGCTGCGGCGGCCCAGCCCAGCCCTGCCGGCGGCCACACCCCGCCGCAGGCGCGCACCCGCCGCCGCGCAGTACGCGGAGAGCGCCGCCGAGGTGTCGCCCGTGGAGGCGCAGCCCACCGCCTGCACCGCATCTGGCTTCAGCTTGCGCAGGCGGTTGACCTGCGGGGGTGGTGGGTGGGGGTGGGGGCCGCGGCTGGCAGGTGAGGTGGCCGCTGGGCCCCATTGCTGGGCCCCACCTCGCCGGCCTGCCGCTGAAGAGCTGGCAGCAAGCTCGAGCCATGCTGCCGCCGTGTCGGCCCTCCCGACCCACGTGCGCGCCTTCCCCAACCGCCACCACCACCACGCCGCCGCCGGCGGGCGCCCACCTGCGACACCAGCACCGTCATGCCCAGGTCCTTGAAGCTGCCGGTGTGGGAGTTGCCGCACTGCTTGACCCACAGGTCGCTCATGCCCAGCTCGTGCCCAAACCGCTCCGCCCAGAACAGGTTGCTGTTGCCCTCAAACATGGACACAATGTCGTCGCTGCTGATCTCCTGCGCGGGGCGGGCGGCCAGGGGGAGGCGCGCGTGGCAGCGGCAGCGGCGCACATCAGCACCGGCCAGCCTGGTGGCGGCAGCGGGCGCGGCATTCTCCATGCTCCGGGCCACGCATGCCAGCCTGGCTGCCAGCCGGGCCCTCTTGTGGAGGCGCAGGACCCTGCACCAGCACCTCTCCCACCACGCCCCACCAGCCTGCCACGCCACGCCCCTCTGAGCCGCTCACCGGCAGCACCCACTCCTTCTTGGACCACACCCCCGAGCCAAAGGGCCAGGAGGTGGTGCCGATGCGGCCGTCAAACAGCTTCTTCCAGTAGGCGGCGTCAAAGTGCGCCAGCGCCTCCATGTCGTGGCTGACATCCAGCAGGCCGCCGTCCCGCGAGCGGTACAGCACCTCGTCCAGGCTGTACTGCTCCTCGCTGCCCCGCGGCGTGCCCGCCTCCACAGACGTGAAGGGCACGTAGCGCGAGTTGAAGGCGTCGCTGCCGGGCAGGTTGGCTGCGGGCGGGGCCAGGGGAGCAGGGGCGGGAGGAGGGGCTGGGCGGCCAGCGCCAGTGAAGTGCTACGCAAGGCAGGCAAGCTGCACCAGCTGCGGCCGTCTACAGCCAGGGGCCTGGCTGGCTGCGCGGGCTCAAGCGCTGGCTGCGCCCTGCCAACCACCGCAGCGACCGTGGCAGCCACACAGGGCCGCCCGCAACTCACCCCTGTTGTGTGCATCCTCACGGATGTCGCGGCCAGGCGCCTCCACTGCACTCGCAGCACCAGGCACAGGAGGGGAGCTGTGAGCTCCAGAGTCCACTGTGTGCCTGCCTCGCTGGCGGCCGCCATGCGGCGGGGCAGCAGCATAGGCGGGGGCCCTGCCAACGCGACACGATAGCGCCCCGAATGCAGGCCAACGAGCAGGATCCGAGCAGCAGCGCACCTGATGCTGCCGCCCGGGGCCGCACCACGACCTGCGCCCTGCCCTGGGGTCTGCATGCCGTGCCCCTCAGCGCCTCTGCCTGCGCGCCGGCCGCCAGGCGCTGGCTGAAGCCCAGCAGCTGCATGGTGGCGGGCGTGCGATGTGGGGGAGTGCCAGCAACACGAGGACCCTCTCCCTGCCACCCACGGCTCTCACACGATGCTTCGAATGCGCACAGGACACGGGCAGGCCTCTATCAGGCGCCTAGCAAAGATCATGCTCCTTTCTAAGCCTGCGCCCAGGCCAGTTGGCCTTCGACTGCTCCAGGCTGTCAGGGCCACATGTTGCGTTTCTGGCATTCGCTTCCGCTCCCAAGGGTCTGCAGCCGAGGTGTGAAACACGCACTGCCCCGCCGGCTGTTGCACTCGACTGGCCAGAAAGAGGTGGGGGCTTGCGGCAGGTCAATTGGGGCCGCCGCACGCCTGCCTGGCCTCTACTCACTAATCGCTGTCGGTGCAGCTGCACAGTTGTGATCGCAGTCGCCTTCTGGGCCCTGTCTCGCAGGCGGCGCCGCCGCTCCTCGCCCGCCACCGTCCGCCGCACTCGCTCCGCTGAGCAGCGCTGCCAGAATGGCGTGCGCTTGCACCGCAGCAGCAGGCAGCAGCAGCACCCGTAGTGGCTACGTGTCAGGGCGGTCAGTCCACGCCGGCGTTCGACCCCAACCCTGGCTGCAGCGGCAGCCCAGGCGTCGAGCCGGCCGCCGCCTGCAGGTGTTCGCCACCGCGGCGCCCGCCTCCCCCAGCAGTAGCAGCAGCAGCAGCAGCGAGGCGGTGCAGGATGGTGAGTACGAGCGGCTGATGGCGGGGGACGCCTTTGCCGAGCTGGTGCAGATGGCGGCGGCGGCCGACCCGTCGTTGGCCGATCGCGCGGCGGCGTCGGCAGCGGGGCCGTCCCCCGCCGCCGCGGTGCTGCCGCTGTCCAACAAGCCCTACTGGCTGCGCCAGCGGGCTGCCCAGGGTGAGCGCTACGACTACCTCAAGGCGCAGTTGGGGGGCCTCAAGCTGGCCACGGTGTGCGAGGAAGCGCAGTGCCCCAACATCGGCGAGTGCTGGAACGGCGGCGCGGCGGGCATCGGCACCGCCACCATCATGCTGCTGGGCGACACGTGCACCCGCGGCTGCCGCTTCTGCGCCGTCAACACCAGCCAGGCGCCGCCGCCGCCAGACCCGCTGGAGCCGGAGCACACGGCGCAGGTGGGTGGGTGGGTGGGTGGGTGGGCCTGGTGGTTGTGTAGTTTGTGGTTCAGCCTGGTGGAGGTGGACCGCGGCTGCCTGCGGCTGCGGGGCTGCACGGTGCAAGTGGCACAGGGTGCGCCGTGCTGGCCATGCCCTCGACGCCGCGCCGCGCCCGCGCCCACCTCCCCGCGCCTGTCCCGCGCCTCCCCGCGCCGCAGGCGGTGGCCGACTGGGGTGTGGGGTATGTGGTGCTGACGTCTGTGGACCGAGACGACCTGCCCGACGGCGGCGCCGACCACTTGCGCGCACCGTGGA